GGCACTCCAGTGATGTTGCAGCTCTGAAATATGGCCAAACTGGTGGCAAGTGGCATCTTGGCAGCTGCACGCTTGACTTTTCTCAGTTCATGGGCAGTTATTTTGCGCCTTGGTTTTTCCACACGCTTCTTGCGACCCTGTTGACTATTTTGAATGAAACGCTTGATTGTTCGATGATCACGCTTCAGAAGCTTTGCAATTTTGAGACTGCTGCATCCCTCTGCAAGATATCTCACTATTTTTGACTTTTCTGAGCCTGTCAAGTCCTTCTTTTGACCCATTTTGCCAAAGGAAAGGACGTTGCCTAATAATTATGCACACCTGATATAGGGTGTTGATGTCATTAGACCACACCCCTTCTCATTACAGAGATGCACATCACCTAATATGCTTAATTGGTAGTAGGCTTTCGAGCCTATACAGCTTGGAGTAAGACAACATGCATGAAGAGGATGATGTGGACAAAATACTCATTTGCCTAATAATTCTGCACTCCCTGTATTAGCTGTGCCCAGTAAATGTACAATGCTTTAATGGTGACATGTGAGCATTTTGATTCGAATCTGATTAGTGTGCCAATAGTATCCACAGTACGACTCGATGCTGCTTAAGGTCACTGCTAGTATTCGGCGATTGTGTTATGTGCAGCTCTATTGTTTTCACTCTCACCTGCTGTGAGTGAGATTGAGGAGGAGGTGCAGACAGAGCATGGCTCAGCATCTGTTCACGTTAGACGACGTGCAGTAATCCTCCTAAGAGGAAACAGTCCTGCAGGTCCTCCTGAGAATGAAGAAAATTGTAAATTTTGGGTGATTTGACATGAATGAATACGCTGAGGATATTTACCAGTGTGCTCTTTAGACCTGTGTCACACGCGTTGTGGACTTTTCTTATTGCGTTTATTGTGAGTTCTTTTTTTTTTTTTTTTTTTTTTTTTTTTTGTCCAAGTTGTGATTGCTGAAGAAAAGAACATTGGCACTGATGGATAAAGTTACCGGGAATTTACTTGCCAGTTGAGTGCGTTGATGTTGGGAAAGACTCACTGACATAACTGACAATACCACAGTTGCAAGAAAACCTCCTGAAAGATGTGAAAAGAGCCCCAGAGTACACTGCATCAGTGTTTCCTCTTTTTTGCCTTATTGTAGATTGACAGGCATCCCAAGTCTGTAGAAATACTTTGGTAACCTTTTCCAACAGTATGATTCACTGACAGTTTAAAAGCTGGAAGTAGCTTTTGGGGCTGGAAAGTGAAGCCAATGTGGAAATGCCTTAAAGTTGTGTTCTTTTTAAAGGCCCATTGGCTTGTTTCCTCTGTGACCTCTGTAAACAATTTCCTAACAACTTTCTGATCTCAGTCACTAGTTTCAGGTCCTATTGAGTACAATAAAGTTTATTTTGGAATTTATAATCCTAAGAGTTAGAAGGCAGGATTGCTCAGGATTTGCTCATCTGTGGTCAGTCGGTTTGTTATTGGCTAAAGATGTGCCAATCATAAGGGTACACTGAAAAGCCACAGTTCCTTTTGAAAATGTCAGCTTTCAGTGGTAGACACTTTACACACATTTTGAGAGACCATATGGTCTGACAGTGAATTTAAGTGAGCAAGTAAATTATTCTTATAATTGCTTTTGGTAATTCATCTTGCACACACAGTTCTCTCTACTCAGTGTTGTGTTACTTAAACTGTATTGATGTTTGGCTTGACTTTGATGTTTCCTGTGCCAGGATTACACACAATATGCAAGGCAGTACACAGGCTTAATGTCTGTACACTCTCCACTCTATGGAACGAGTGCGTAATTGATATTAGTTTTAAGCCACACCAAGTGCATCTTTGTTTGACAGGGAGCTGAAATAAAGGCAGCCATGTCATATGAGTTTAATGATTCTTGACAAGGCAGTGACTGCTTTTCATTCTCATAATGTGGACACGAGTTGTTTTGCTCCATGGTGCTGTCTACTATGAATAATTCTGTTTTGTAAGTGCATTCAACATATCTTCCCTCGACTGCTGAATTATTTGGTTGGAAGAGTGTATTTGTTCATACTGCCTAGGGTAAGGAAATTATGAATAATTTTGTTGATTGACATTCACCCACATAAATGAACACATCAGTTTCATATTTGAGGAACAAAGAGGTGCAGCATGTATGGCAACAGTGGCGACTGCAGCAGGGCACAGCTGTGATTTCTATGTTGATGTGCTTTCCTACGATGATGATGATGGTTAATCATCGGCCATGGTGGCCCAGTTTCTCTGACAATCTGCTTGGAACTGATTTCACTTCTACTTTATTGCTGTTGACAGTATTTTCACTCGGGCTTATCGTAAATAAGACTACCGTGCTAATCATCATTTGCTCATTACACCCAGCGTGTGCGTAGTACTCCGCTTAGTCTTCTGATTTATTCGCTTATCAGCTCGGCTTCTATGTTGCTAACCGAAACGTGAAGGTCACCTGTGGAGTTTTTGTTCAACTTTTATTTTTATTTTATTTATTTATTTTTTTTAAGTTTTATTAAACAGCTTATCTGCCAGCTAAGTTTATTTTTGCCTTCTTGCCACCTATTGATCAGCAAGAAATTGTGTAATGATGGGCAGGATTGTCTGTTGTGTCGCATCAAGACTTCTCCTCCCCATAAACTGGACCAGTGCTCAGATGCTCGGGCTACAACTATGTCGGCTGCTTGGAGGTAACGTCCCATTTTAAAGACTTGCAAATTCCTCATAATGAGGTTGGAGGGATGCTGCCGGCATAATCTCCTGGGTTTACAGCTGGAAAAGCCTGGCTCATATCCCTTTGGGTGCCCACACATTTTTACTTTCACTTCTACTCGTTGTTAGAGCTTGACCAGTTTAACTGCAGACTGATATTATCAGCCAATATTGGGTGTTTGGCAATATATCATGTTGGCATTTATAATGGACAGTAGATTAAAACTAGAAAAATTTGCATTTCCTGCGAAAATGCTGTGTGGATGCCTTAACGCTAAAGATGTCTGCTGAAAAAAAGCTGAATAAGTATGAAGTTGAAAAAAAATGTTGCCCTGAGCAGGATTCGAACCTGGCCCTTCTGGTCTCAAGGCGGCTACTCATCTCACTGCACCAACCTCATTCTCACAAAGAAGAGGTGGAGAGACTGACAATTCTGCTGAAATGAGCAGAAGCTGCTGAGAATTGTGCTGATAAGAGGTGAAAAGGCTGAAAATTTTGCAGAAGAGGTGAATAAGCAGAATTTGGGCAGAAAAGAGGTGAAAATTCTGCTGAAAAGAGGTTTTTGCTGAAAACAGCTGAAAAATCTGGTATTTGTGCTGAAAAGTGGTGAAAAAGCTGAAATTTGTGTTGAAAAGAGTTAAAAAAGTCTGTTAACTGAAAGAAATGTTGACATAAGCGGGATTTGAACCCGGGCCTCCCAGTCTGAGAACGGATGCTCATCTCACTACGGCATCCACACAATAAGTAAAGAGAAGATGTGGAGGGTGTTGGCTTTCAACAGTGTTATGAGTGTTTAGAGCACCACAACAGAGGCCAACTTGGCCAGAGTGTAAACGAGTAAATAACGTAACAAATGTTAGGGAATCTGTTTCATGCATCTAAAAGGGGAAAAAATAATGGCTAATCGGGTTACTAGATTTTTAAATCTGCAGTCTGTAAGTTTACTGATTAGCTGTAGCAGTAAAGACAACTTGGTAAGGTTTAGGAAGTACATACAACTTTGTGTAGGGCAGCATGGTGGTTAGCACTGTTCCCTCAAAAAAGAAGGTCCTGTGTTAACATTCACTCTCTGGCCTTTGTGTGGAGTTTGCATAATTTCTCTGGGTACTCTGCCTTCCTCCCATAGTCCAAAAACATGCAGTTAGTCAGGTTAGGGTAATTGGTGAATCTAAAATTGCCCATAGGTGTGAATGAAAGTATGAATGGTGCTGTGAAGGTAGGCCTGGTGACCTGTCAAGTAGGGGTGGGGGAAAAAATCGATACTGTGTAGTATCGTGATATTTTGTTTGCTAATAATGTATCGATACAGGGACAGCAGAAATCGATATTTTGTTACAAAAAAAGTTTTTGTGGAATGGAACATGATCAGCTCCTTTTTCTGAGCAAGAATCCTGACATTCCTTCACTGTCCAAATGTGTTTAACTTGTTTTTTGGCAGCAATAAACATGACAGTTTACTTCTTTTAATTTAAGACATGTTTTATTTTAATTAAGTTTAAAACTTTTTTATTTAATGTAAAATTATATTTTGTTTTAATTTACTTTCAAATTCTTCAGTTGCTGAAGGGGCTGCATAGTTTTCATAAATTGCATAGTTCAGAATAGCTATAATTGTACCAGATGGTTGCGTTCAGTTAAGTTAGACTAGACTGTAATACAAACCGTTCAGTTTGTCAACAATAAAACTGACTGAAATGAGAGAAAGACTGAGTGCGAGACTTTGATATTAGATAAAATGAATATTGATAAAGTTTACCTTTATGTACAGAATCTGAATATCGCAAAATATTTTTTAAAAATTGCAATAATATCGTATCGTGGGATGTATGGTGATTCCCACCTCTACTGTCAAGGTATAGGCTCTTGCTCGAAGTTGAAGAAAACTGATGAATATACAATTCTTGGGGTATTAAAAAGATTTCGGATCAACCCATTACCAAGTGTGACTTCTTGTGTATAAAAGTCACCTGTTTTGACACAATGATGCCCCAAGGATAGGAATGGTGAGGTGACTGAGAATGCTAAAACCCTGTCCTTGTTGCACATCATTTTTGGAGGTAACACTCTAATCCAGGGGTCTCGAACTCCAGTCCTCAAGGGCCGCTGTCCTGAAGCTTTTCCATGTGTTCCTGTTGCAACACGCCTGAGTAAAATGAGTAAAATTAGCAAGAGTATAGAACTTGACTGCATGCTGAAGTGGCAACCCCTAACCCTATTCAAGTAAATTTAAGTTAATGTAAGTGTTTGGAAAAATATACTTCTAAAAGTACTTTTATTGCACCATGTTCATTCACTCATGAGCTGCTGTAACATGAATCCAGTGGCTGAATCACCACCTCAGCATGCAGTCACATTCTATAGAGTCTTGCTAATGACCTACTAAGTGTATTCAGGCGTGTTGCAACAGGGAAACATGGAAAAGCTTCAGGACAGCGGCCCTTGAGGACTGGAGTTCGAGACCCCTGCTCTAATCTGTTTACAAGTGAGTAAATTGGAATCTACATTTTTCTTGTTTCTATGTCCCTTCTGATCTATAAACCTTTTAATGGATGTCATCCAACTCACCTTTGGATATTGAATCGATGGGGATGTTTGTGTCGTATGCTGTGATGTGACAGATTTGTTCTTTGCAAACTGGAAGATGCACAATAAAGTTGACTGGATGTGACTTAGGTTATGCTTATACTTAACTATTCTAACTAGATGTGGGGGAACAAGTCTTCTTTCAAAGTCAAATCTCAGAAGTTGATGCGTTGAACTGTGATTATTAATCTTCTTTTGAATGTATTTGAATATAAAAGACATCCCAAAAATTCCTTAGAAGAGCCAGCCAGCCATTATCCGCTACATAAAACCTAAGTGTAAAATGCTTTCCCTGTACTATCTACTTTAAAGATGACTGAGATATTCGGGGAAATGATCCTTTACTTACAAGATGTCCTTTGGTTTCTTACAACAGATAAATATCAAAAGTGCTTTCAGAAATGGTCCGTGGCTTTTTCCTGGTACCGTTCACAGTTGCGATGCAGTTCATTTATGGGAAACTTTGATATCAGTGCAGAGCTTAAGATTTTTTTTTTTTTTATTATTATTTTTTTTTTATCTCTTGCAGATAGCTAGAAAGTGGGTGTGCCTGTAATATGCATTTATGCACTGCTGCTGACGAGCCTCACTATGCTGGTGCCTCATTTAGACTGTTCAGTTACTTGGAAGCAGTTTTCTGAAGAAATATTTCACAACTTTTTTTTGTGTGTGTGTGTGTGTGTGTGTGTGTGTGTTTTGGCACATGTGTGAGTAGTCGCCGGAACACTTTGTGGCACCATCAATTTCTTGCCTATTGCTGCACGTTTATCTGTGAAATTGATGTTGAAATAAATTTAAGCTAAAGGGATGAAAGATGTGAGTGCATGTGTGTAGTGGCCCATAAGGCACCAGGTGCCCATTACTGATGAGGAAGACTTTTTCCCCAAATTAGCACCTTTACTGTAACATCATAAAAGCACAAAGCCCCAGCGTGTAGTCTTTCCTCAAGCAAGACAATGGCAGTACGGATAAGTAATGACTGATGAGACGGCTATTCAGCCTGAAATATGTGCTCAACATTTTTATTCATTTCTTTTTTTAAATCATGAATGTTTGCAAAGCATGCCATATCAAATGCACAGCGGTTGTGTCTAGTTTGGGTGATGTTTTGAAAAGCCCTGCTGCACTTAAAAATAACACCGCATTACTTGTGGATGAATTCCAGTGTGCATAATCCCTTTCCTTACTCACCTAGGCTGTTCTTATTTTGACAAACCAAATACTTTATCACCTTCCCTTGCCCTTCTCGCCCCCTTAAAAGATACCAGATTGTCAAAACTGAATCTCAGTCTCCATGGAAGCAGCAGTAACAAACAGGCTTTAAGGGCTTCCCCTGTTCAAAATGTGTGCTGCGTCTTGTTTTGCGATCTTTCACCCGACTTCCCATATGGCGCATTGAGAAGTACTGAGTCAGTGACTGTTGTGGAATAACAGGGCGATCTCACACATGGACTAATGCATACAGCCTCGGGCCTTGGCAGCAGTATTTAATGCCAACACTGTGTAGCAGGATGTACTGGAATAAACAAACAAATAATGATTAAGGATATTCTGGGTGAATAATTTACTTGTTGTTCACGCAATAGAGTCCAGACTAGTCAAAGATAACAGAACACTCAGAAAATGGTCAAAATGAGCCCAGTCTAATGAACAGTGTTAAATATTGTTCTTAGAAAGCCTGAGAGGAGCAACTCTTGAAGCTCTTTTCTGAGCTGATGAACACAATGACTGAGTTTGCCTCAGAAGTTAGCTGTTAGAGAGAGATGATCCTCTAACCTTAGAAAAACTGGAAAATATTTTAATGGTTGTCAACCCATGTCTTTATTGATATATATACTGAGGTGTCAGAACTCCTCATTAAGAGTACAGAGGTGGTCTTCAAAGCCCTTCTTTGTCGGGGAGCGAGTTGAGAGAAGCTGCTTGAAGTATAGAGTTTCCATATTGTGCTAAGGCCATCAAAAATAGCCAAGAAATGTTCTAACTTAAGGCAGTTTTCATTAAAGAAATGGCCTTCACCTCACAATTTCCCTCAAAGTCACTCTTAAAATGCAGCTGCTGTGCACCTTGGGGAGACCCTCATGACACTCCTTTAAATTGAAGTGCAGAGGGCTCAGCTACCTGTGGTGGTGTGGTAGGTGCAGAGACTAAAATGCTCAGTCCTCTGTGGAGGGAGAGGACAGTGATGGAAATGTTTTAGATGGAAATTAAGAGAGTGCAGCTTCCTCACATGGCCCCAGCGGTCCATCAGTGGTGGTGGGGGGAGAGCCTGTTTGGTATTACTGTCTTGCAGGAGTGCTCTATCTTTGCTCCGTGAGTTAAAAGGGGAGATAGAATTAGACTGCAGAATTAAATCTTATTAGCCCCTGTCCCACTGGCAATCACCTTTTGCACCATCTTCAGTGAGTGTTTGAGAGAGTCTGTGTGTGTGAGCAAGGAAGAGGGTAAGGTGGGAAGAAATTCAACAGGTTATTACTGACATTATATTTGAAATGAGCACAGAGGTGTGTGTGTGTGTGTGTGTGTG